CTTACTATGCTGTACTCATCCTTTCTCTTCCTGTGACGTGAGAGTATAAAATGCCTATGTGATGAGATGAAGTGAGGTGGATGATGTAGGCATTGTGATGTAGCATTAGGCTACCATTGACCTTCTGACACTAAGTCAGAAGGAGGATCATCTGCTTCCTGACTGTGGTTGAGGGTGAGTAACTGAAACCGAAGAAAGCCAAACCTCAGATAAGAGGGGATACTGTATTGGGTTAAATGTCTGATATGTTATTATAATGATTTCTGGTAATAAAAACAATTTCCTGAGTGGTGCATCAAATCATCCATTTTGAGTTTCAACCTGTACACATTAAAAACATCCTGAATATTAATTAGGATGAATATTTCTTGCCATGAAAAGATGGAATCATTACCTGAAAAAAGATTACAAACCAAACTATACAAAATATTCTCATTTTAGTCGTGACGACATAGATGCGTACATTTATGTAAAGAAAAAAAATCTGGAAAATTATACACTAAGTTGTTAAATAGTAGTAATCTCTGGCTGATAGAAATGAGGTTTTTCTTGTTTTCTTATATTTTGCTTTTTTATATGTCCCACTTTCCACAATGTACACAAAAATTTCCTTGTAAAACTGTAATAATTAAGTAAAAAAGTACATATACCTTTAACAGAATTAGTAGGGATCTGCAGAGGAAAAGAACTAGAATCAGTAGAGGGCTTATATGTATTAGACAGCATGTTACATTCTGGGGATTGAACAATTAGTAATATAAGGCCAGGTTTAGAGAACTTAAGCAACATACCCATGGTGATCCAGTAAGAAAATAATAGACCTGGGATTCAAACCCAGGTTTTTGTGATTCTAAAATATTATTCCATTTCATCTTGCTGGCCCAGATCCACTATCATCTCTCTATGAAACTGTTAAGTAATCAAAATTTCTGCTGCCCTACCCACATTATTCCATGCTATGAATTGCCATGATCACTACCATGGGGCCTGTTTCAAGATACTCTTCATCCATCAACCTAATCCTTATTACAGTTGCAAATATTCTGGTCAACTAATCTGATAAAATAATTGATGCCAATAAATCATTGTGTCAGTAATTTCTCTGGACTTCCCAGTGCCATGTACGTGCAGCTTATTGTGTTAGGTGTTGGGATGACAGAGTTCACATTCAAACTGGGGTACGGAGGGGGTAGTGAGATGCTCACATAGTTCACTGCATTACAATCTGATAACTGCTCTATTAAGATAATAAAAAAAACATTCACTATGGAAGCATGAAAAAGTTAAATGCATACTACTCTGGGATATCACAGAGTTTAAAAGAAAAAAAAAAAAAAAGGAGGAAGGGCCTATGAAGCAAAGACCATTGCCTGTGCAAAACAACACCTAGCAGTTAAAGACCCCTTCTTCCTAAAGATTAGCCTGTTTCATGGCAACCTCCTGTAATCACATTGCCCTTTTGCTGATGTCACACTTCAAAGCTATGTTTCTCTGGGTTTGCAGCAGGCCAGTAGTGGGAAATAGTTTTAGGCAGCCCTATCAGTAGATCTTAAAATAACATCTCTTAAAGCAAACACCTGTGTCCTATGCAGCCTTTCACAGTAGTACGTGTTGTTGTCACTGAACTGCATCCCTGAGCCGCTCACATAGTGACAAGTTTAATGCAGCTGGGTTACCTAAGACTTGCAGAGATTAGGAAGCTGTCAGTAAAACATCCGGGAGGGCTTTGTGAATTATTTTGTAAAATCAGTCTAAATTAGTAATTAATGGAAAAATTTTGAAAACTTGTTCAGCACTGAGTATAGCCGGAAAAAAAGTCAACCTCTGGAGAATCCAATTTTATCATTAGTGCTAAAGCATATTTAACAGATGAATTTTTTCCAGAGTCCTCATCTCAATTTATTTCACTGGATATCCTTTGTTAGTCAATTCTTTCTTCTCTCTTCAAAAAAATTAGAGATTAATTTATCCAAAGAGTAAAGGTGAAGAACATAAATTTTCAAGTCAGCAATATTTGAGGAGGAATATGTCAATATGTAGCTACATAAATGGAACTAACATTTTTAAAACATAAATATAAAAACCTATAATACAAATGTTTTCAGACAACCACAATAGGTAATTTGCACATGAAAATATGTATCCCTTGTGTATTTTAAGTGAACTACATTTATGGGTTTCCTGGAGTTCCGGCATCTTTACTTTTTCAATTATTTCATTCACAAGCTACACAATTAATTGTACTTCTGTAGATCACTTTGTCCCTGAAGTAGGAAATACTTCAAAATAATTTAACTTCTACATAATATAAATACATACATAATTAGGCTATTTAGTGTTTTTAAAAGGCAAGTTATGTGATTCAGCATCAAGAAAATATATTCTAATTTATGAGAAAGTTAAGAGTGAGTCAATGATGAAGTTAAGGGACAAGCCCAGGAACAAATCTGAGATGTTCTATTTTTTCTTTAAACTCCACCTCATGTAAGAGTGTTATTTCCTCTCAAAATGTTCTTCCAATGTCCCCAAATAATGACCAAATACTATAAAAAACACTCTATACAGACAATGAATATTTTGGTGAAGTTGTTAGGTAACATTTAAAGACGTTTTCAGCAAATAACTATTTTTGGGTAAGGTAAGAAGACAAATTCCTACAAAAAAAGATGCTTCAAAACTAATTTCCAGGAAAAAAAAAACAAACATAGAATGCTTTGAAGAAAACTTCAAATCTAAGTATTTGTAGGTGAAAATATTAAATTCTAGCAACATCGAAAATTTATGCACTTTCCTTTATCTTCTGTTATCCCATATGAAGAAGTTTATGAACAGATAAGCAACAGGGCCTGAATGGGAAAGGAATTAGGGCAAAGAAAGGGGGATGGGGGACAAAACAGGATCCCATACTATTTAAGAGTAAACTTTTATTTATGTGTTTATGCATTTATTTATTTTTCACAGTCTTGAACATTAGGTCTCCAGAGGGAAATACATTCATTCAGTAAATATTTACTGATTGCCTATGATTTGTTAGGCATTACCAGAGAAATGAGAGAATATAAAGATGACAATTATATTCTCTGCTCTCAAAACAGTTACGACTGAGTTGGAGACACATACATGCACACAAATACAATTTATTGCTATATAACAACTATATAAACCTGTTAAGACAATCTATGTAAACAAAATCTTATTTTTTCTGTATTTCTTAATTCATTTTTAGTACCATTCACTATATTACTTGGTTCAGATTTGCAACTGAACAGCATGTAGTGAACGGACACCAAGGCAGCATCTGAGTGCCAAAACATTTAAGAAAAAACAGACATGCCACAAAACTAATCCAAGGTCAGCACAACCTGGCCAGTTTTGAGGAAGGGCCAATCTTCCTTTTCACTTCCAATATTCTCATATATGGAAAAATACAAACTATTTTTCTTAACGTAATATCATTTATATCTGATCCCAAAGGAATTTTCTTCAACCAAATCCAATTTATTTTAATCTCCAGACCATCTTCTTGAAACAAACTTCCTGTGTCCTTGGTAACAGTATATTATTACATTGAGGGCTATAACATCACTACTTTTTAATATATTTCTTCTACTTTAGGTAAGAATCTTTGAAATTCACAAAATAAAATCTTACTAATTTGGACTTTAAACTTAAGCATCTTTTTCAGAAGGAGTAGGGACTGGGATCATTTTTTTGTCCTTTACAGTTTTTCTTGTGTTAACTATTCAGCAGAATTAGAAAATTTAAAATATAATGAAATATAATATTTGGTATTAAAAACAGCAACAGCAAAAATATCCAGTCTATATCTTGGATTGGTATACACTCTCCCCAACCTGCCATACATTCTACATTTTTATACTTAGAAACCCTGCGTTGAATGGTGGCACTTCAACTCTGTGCAAGTTCTTTAAACAACAAGCATTCAAATAAATTCACAAATTTTGATAGTACTAAGGCAAGAAGTGAAAAAATACACATTTGTTTATTTTACAACAGGTCATTAAAAATTAAATAAGGATTGAAGGAGAAAAAGATCAGTTGGGTTTTCAGAGTAATTCTGAACATTCAATGAATAAAACCCTTGCATTCTTAAAGTGTTATGACAAACTGAGATTTTGGTACGAAGACAAGATTCTATGACAACTTTTTTTTTTTTTTAAGGAGAAAAACTTTTTAAAAAGTATGTTTAGCAACAACAACTTAGAAACTATAAACACCTACGATTACAATTTGCAAATGGAATGTTTGCAAAGTTGATAATATAGAATTTGGAATATATTTTCCAATTGCAACAATGCTTTATAAAACGATGGCTAACTTTCCAGAACAGATTAGAAACCCTGTTTTTAAGCATGTTCTTAATATACCATCTATCTGCAACGAAAAATAACTAAACACAGTATAATTGCAATACTGACAATGGAAAACAAAGAAAAGGAAAATACACAGAACTCTAAAACCATGACTGCATAGCATTAAAAAGAGAGAATATGTTGGGGCACCTGGGTGGCTCAGTCGGTTGAGCGTCAGACTTCGGCTCATGTCATGATCTCACGGACTGTGAGTTGGAGCCCATCATCCGGCTGGAGCCTGCTTCACATTCTGTGTCTACCTCTCTCTCTCTGCCCCTCCCCCGCTCATGCTCTGTCTCTCTCTCTCTCTCTCTGTCAAAAATAAATAAACATTAAAAAAAAAGAGAATATGTAACTCAAAAAGACAACTAAGAGTTAGCCAAAACTCTTTGTAATGTGAATTCAAAAAGATGGTTTGCAAAGGTGTAAAAGGGTATTAAAGCCAAGTTTTGATTGCCTGAAGGACACCTCCCTCTCTCTCATACACTAAGGACAGGCAAATTGGGCACTTTCAACCTGGAAGACAAATGCCACACTGAGTTAAAAAGCACAAAACACAGCGTGAAGAAGAAAGTGAGAGGGGACTGGAAAGTAAATCTGGGCACTTTGAGAACACATTGGCCATCCTTAGCTCCAGAGGCCTGCATAGTTCCCGTGGAGGCCTGAAGGGAGAGGCCCTCCAGCCACGAAGAGCTTCATCTCAGGCCAGTTGTAGCAGTGGGTGTAGAGCGCGTTGGGGAAATCATCTATACCACCAAAGTAGTTCACCCACAGGTCATCGTGGTTG